ATACAAATCGTACCTAAGTTTTATTACTTTGGAAATTGAGCAGAAAGAATTGCTAATATAAATTATTTAATCAATACCGAAATTTGCACCTCTTTATGTATACTGTATACTGTATACTGTATAGAGGTATCTCTGACATGTTTTTCCTTTACAGATATGCTATCATCTGCTTGGACTAGTACATGGAATCTGGACACCTATCCCTCGTGCTGTAAGTATTGGATAATGTATCTGCATCTGTTTCCTCTGTCATATGCTAATGGACTTTTGTCGCTCTATCTGTAACATTTTGCAACAGATGAAAGACTACATTGCCACCCCTAAGCCTAATGGCTATCAAAGTCTTCATACAACAGTGATTCCATTTCTTTATGAGAGCATGTTTCGTTTGGAGGTTCAGGTATACTTATGGCACCCCCAAAACTAAGGAATAATAAATATATCAGTTACTCCCTCTATTCCAATATGTATGTCCCACCTATTTTGAAATGTACCAAAATGTTTAACACCATTCTATCTTCTAGAAAATTTCAATTTCAAGAATTCAAATACATTGCACTCTTCAAATTTGAACTCCCCTTTGATGTTTCCCAATCAAACTAACATTTCAGCCATTATTTAAAAATATTTTGTTTCAGTATGTGTGGGAATATATATATACTCCTGAAATGTTTTTTTATAAAGTAAAAATAATCCCGTTGAAGTGTCTTTGGCATTTTACTTTCTGATGTTATGAATTTGCCTCTGGTTTATTGACAAGTCAGCACTTATTTGTTTCTGATTATCGTCGAGCAACTTGATTATACGTGCGTAATGTTTGGCAGATAAGAACTGAAGAGATGGACCTCATAGCTGAAAGAGGCATTGCTGCACATTACAGTGGGAAAGGTTTTGTAAATGGTTTAGTTGGGCATGTTATAACCAATGATAAAAGTTCTGGAGGAAAAATAGTCTGCCTTAACAATGCCAATATTGCTCTCAGGGTATAAGTATATTGCTTTTGCTTAACTGTCTAGTGCCTTAATATCTGTGTGGGCTTCATCTGTAACTATTATTATGGGGTAAAATTCCTTCTCTGATGTAGATTGGCTGGCTGAATGCAATTAGGGAGTGGCAAGAAGAGTTCGTTGGAAACATGAGCTCTAGGGAATTTGTGGACACTGTTACCAGAGATCTGTTGGGCAGTCGTGTCTTTGTCTTTACACCCGGAGGAGAGGTGACTTCTGTGTGATTTTTCTACTCAATTTGTTCCCTTTTTGAGTCCTGTAACATCATCGCTATACCACTTTGCTATATTTGCAGATAAAACATCTCCCAAAGGGGGCTACTGTCATTGATTACGCGTATATGATACACACTGAAATTGGCAATAAAATGGTGGCTGCTAAGGTCTCAATCTTGTTACTATAGGTGTTTTTCACAGTATCAGCTTGATACTGTTTTCAATAATATCTCACCTTATAAAAAAATCCCGTTCTATAGGTTTTTAATGCTTCATGAATCTGGATGTGACTGCAGCATCTTCTGTTTGCAGGTGAATGGTAATCTTGTCAAACCAATGCATGTACTTGCAAACGCAGAAGTTGTAGAGATTATCACTTACAATGTTAGTTGCTATGAATTCCGATCCTTCTTTTGCCTATGTTCTCTATCTTTTATTCTTTTTTCTCTTCCTTTTGTGGTCAGCCTGGGGCTTGCTAAATTTTTCATGTTCGGTTGGTCAAATATTTTGTAAAACATTTTCTTTATGAAAACAAGCTCCTTAAAAATGAGGAAAATGACTTCCATGATGGAAGTAGGGAAAACAAGTTGCACCTAGTGACATTCCAAAAAAATGTAGATTGCCGTCATTAGTTTCTTTCTGTAAGCTCTGATAAGTTTTACTCGATGCATTCGAGTAATTACTTCACCATGCTGGTAATTTACAAGCATCTGGAACATTACCAATTTTTTTTAAAAAAAGTAATTTACAAGCATCTGGTTATTTTCCTTTCTTCAGGGTCTCTCCAGCAAGTCTGCTTTCGAGAGACATAAACAGTGGCTTCAACATGCAAAAACTCGTTGCGCCCGGCACAAGATTATGAAAGTAGGTATCTCTGCTGAGTTAGAATGGAAATTTATCATGTACTGCTACTACTACAAATTAACTGATGTGGAGCTCATCTTTTCTTTAGTTTTTGAGAGAGCAAGCTGCACTATCAGCATCTGAAATAACTGTGGATTCAGTTAAGGAATTTGCTGCTGAGTCTGAAGGGGACAGCACAGTGGAAGAATTAGCAGATTACTCAAAGGGAACCAAACATTCATGGGAGAAAATCCTCAAGAATGTTATGGAGGTATCATCTGCAAGGATAAATAGTGAAGATATTTTCCAACTCCGTAGTGGTAGTATTCAAATTCCCAAGGTAAATGGGAAACATAATAAGTGCATGCAGCATACGAGTTTGAAGGCCACAGGGGAGACATTGTCACAAGGAAATGGTGTTGGTGAAATGATACTTGCTAACATACCAAGGTACAGGGATGTTCTGCCCGGATTGGACGGCTGGCTGGCTAGCAAAGTTGCAACTTGGCAGAACCTGGAAGGGCACTCTGTCCAGTGGTTTTGTGTTGTCAGCATAGATCGAAAAGGTAATGTTTGGTCCAGAGGCTAATTATTGCAAATGAGCATCAAACTGGATAAGGCATCACTGCTCATTTATATTAGATGCATTTGCGAACTTTGCAATGTATTGGTGGTTCTAAATTCCTTTGAAAAATCATTACCACTAGCAGTGCTAGTATTTGTTTTTTCCTTTGCTTTAGGCATTTGGTAACCGAAACCTACTGCTAGGCCTGAAGTGCTCCCAACCAACAGGTTCTAACATTCCTAGGGATCTAATCCAAGACTTTAGTTAAGGGTGGAAAAATCTTAGCCACTACATTTAGTTTAGTTGTGAGAGAGAGGCTTGTCAGAATTACGTATTTAAAAGTTTGACTACCTTGAGGATCAAATTTTCAAGTTCAAAAGAATGACATCAAACTTTTGAATAACCAGAGAAGTGTGTGAGAGTATGTCGGGATGGGGGCGGGGGGGATTCCATCGATGTAGAAGATCTAACTTTTGTTCTTTTTTGTAATTTTTGTATAGTTCCAACTACATGTATTCCAGTTTATTAACCTTATCTTTATCAAAAAAGTTTATTAACCTTATGTTCATTTACATATGAACATTATCTATGACCTGGTATTTGTTGACTAATAGAAATTTTAATGTGTATCCAACATTTTTCATGGTTTATTACTTGTCATGGCTGACATCTCAAACCACTATAAATCATTTAGGCATGATGGCGGATATTACTTCAGCATTGGCAGCTGTAGGCGTCACCATATGTTCTTGTGCGGTGAGTTGGAACATTTATCATATCATTTTTCATCTAGGCTTAAACTCCTGAGCTATACATATTGATAATCAACATTTTAATATGGTCTGGGTCGACTGTGAAGCTGTCTGCAGTTGATGTCTGAACCTAGCTTGCATTTGTGAAAAAATTCAATATTTGTTTTATATTTAATAGCTGAACCTTGATTCAGCAGGAACTAGACACCTTTATTAGCTAGCTACATTAGGCAGTTTGTGTCAAAGTACAAGACACTGATAGCTCTTTAATCATTACTACTTCAGCAATAGCCAGCAGGAGCTAACAATGAGAACTGTGTTGAAAGAGGACTTTACAAGTTCTAGTTAGTCAATTTGATCTAGTACCTGCGTCTTGGTGCAGTGGGAGAGCATACATAGCTTCTTTTTTTCTTGATATGCTGATAGCGAAGTAAGAAGAAGATGAATGTCATACCTGGCGTGATTGAAACCATCGTGGGAGGGAAAGAAATGGGCAGGATAATAAAGGAAATTTGTGCTGAACTATTACTAGGAGAGGACTAAAACAATTCTATCTATTAAATTCCGTTCTTCTTTTGAGATATTACCTTTTGAATATTCATTCTGAAAAATGTACAAAGCTTTAAGCAATTAAATAGTCATATTCTCCTCCTGTTTCAATTATTTTAAAATTCTCAATTGTGAGGTGACTGGATTGTTACTTCAATAAAACTGCAGGCTGAGACGGATAGAGAAAAGGGGATTGGTGTCACGCTATTTCATATTGAAGCCGACCTAGAGAGCTTGGTATGTCTTCTGAACATGCTTCAGTAATCTCTCTCTTTATATGTGCTACTTTATGAATTCTCGGCTCCCGCAGGTTGGTGCAAGTTTGAAGATTGACATGATCCTAGGTGTTTTGGGATGGTCCACGGGCTGCAGTTGGTCAGAGAACAAACAGTTTCTAGAGTGCTAATTTAGTGGCCTAGCCTGGTGAAGAGTACTTGCCCAGCTGTTGAAAGCATGGGGAAAGAAAGTTTTGTTCAGTGAAACCTGACTTCTTTTCTTTTTCTAGTTGTCAATTTTTTTTCTCCTCACCTTCTTGACAAGTATAGAAAGCAAACAACATTAGGTTATATGGTGTCGGGCGACTGTATATAAAGGAAGAGTAGCAACCAGTTATACTTGTAAAGGAATTTTCAATTATACCAACTCCAACAAAATTATGTTAGACATTTATACAAAATAAATATATTAAATATCTTCCATCTTATCCTTTTTTCACATCTATTTCTAATGTGGTATAGGTTTGACACAATGTCATCGTTCGCCTTTGCCTTCTGCGCTCCACCACCAACCCGAACTCCCAACAGAAAATGTAAGAGTGCACACATTGCAGTTGGCTTTGCATCAATTGTCACAATGAAACTGTGAGCACAGTATACAAATTGGATCTATTTTTGCCTTGAAATAACAACCAGTATACAAATTGGCAGCGATTGGTCTACATCGAAGCAGGTGTACGTACACCATTCCTTTTCAGCTCAAACTGTACATATATAAATTATTTAGTTATGTTTAGTCTGGCACACTATATTAGTGAGTGCAATATTATTTCACACTCACTGCCTTCACTGATTTAAAATCTTGAACCACCTATAACGGGAGGAAGAATGCCTTTAAGCACAAAGTACCAGATTAGCACTAGTAGTGCTCCCAAAAGCACTCTCCTTCTCCTGGTGATTGCAGCTATATCATCCAGGTACATGAACTTCGTTCGGTAGCTATCAATGCCATCATAGTTCTGTTGGGCGTTGATGGCGACATCATTCTGCGTGCTTTTCAAATTGCAGTTTTCTACCCTAAATAGTTCTTCTATTCCTTCTTCCTCTTCTTTCACATTATTCTCTTTATGTTCCAACAGAAGTTCAGCTGGCCAAATTTTGTCACTGTTGGATTGCTCATAGGAGTGTCTTGCTCCTTCCAAGATGTCATCTTCAACTTCCTGTGCAACATCTTCTTTGTCTATGTCGTCTTCATAGTCATCATCTTCTTCTTCATTAACAAAAACAATCTCTTCATCATCATTTTCCTTCAAAACATTTCCTTGACAATCGGGTTCAAAGCTTTGTTTCTCAACCAACTGCTCTGTTACTAGGCTCTGCTCTTCACTAGCTGCAGGATCCATCGCATCTGTTTCTTTTATCTCTTGAAATCACTTCAGAGGCATTTCTCATATAATATTGGCCTTTACTTATTTATCAAAGGCCGTCGATGTGCAACCAACAATGCAAAAACATCTGAACCCTCCATATTGAGGAATTTTCATACTTGCGACCATGCAAGTATGCAATCAAAGGCGCTGATAATCAAAATATTCTCTATGCACAATGCTGCTATATGTATTAAAGCTCACAACTCATTATAGCTACAACACGTAATTTGTTTTATTTATTTCATGACACGACATGAAATCATGCATCTACAAGTATATTCATACTGAATTAATTGCATGACTAGTTCAGAGTTCTGAGCATAGCATCTCACAAAGAGAAATGGTGATAACTGAGATAGAAGGCCATCACAACTTTAGGTATCCTATGTTCAAAATTCTACAAAACTTGATGAATGGCACACTGGCAAATTGCAGTCAGATCTTCTTGCTGCCGGAACATAAAATTGGTCTCCAGCAATCAAAGCCATTACATTTGCGGAAAGAAGTGGATTTTTCAGATCAGGATATAATCAAAACTATTTCCGTATCCTACCAAGCCTGAAGTTTGACCAGAAACTAACATCAGCTGATGATCATCTTGTTCAGGAATTCAGCTTGCTCAGGAAAGTATTCCAACAGTTCATCTTTTGTAACCCAGACAAAATCATCACACTTTCTAATATCAAATTTGTTGACTGCAATGACTTGGGATTTGAAGAAGAAGCGCTGTCATAATAAATATAGAATTTATACATTAGAAGCACATAAGCTTTGTAGAAGCTATCAGGCGATTTCCCTCCCTCACTGCCTGTGGGATGAAAGAATTTCTTACTGTCCTTTTCTATAATACTTCAATAATTAAAATCGTGCATACCTTGATTGACGGAATTTTCTTGTCTTCAGTGGGTTGTATGACCATATGACCCATAGGGGCGTTTCCAACAAAATATGTATGTGAAAGATCTCCAATAAAAGATTCTAGGGCAGACTCAGCACACTGCAAATAGTTGCAACTTATATTTCATTTTTTCAACCCAAATTACTGAAAATCCTCAAAGAAATGGACTGAATAAGAACTATTTACCTTGCGCAAGTTCTCTTCAGACTCATAAACTTTTTCAGGGAAATGCCAGACAGGCTTTCCACTACCATGTGTGGTACCATGGACTAGAAGATAGAGTCTCCTGTCTAGTGCTCGCTGTAATGACCTTATGCATATCAACAAAATCTCATAATCAGTAACATGAAATACTAGCCAGCAGAAGGAAACAAATGCTTTGAATATCTGTTGACATATTATTCATGTCCAGGAAAATGCAAAGGTTTTGTATAGCCATATTGGAGCCTAAAACTGATTAAATCTAAAAAGAAAGTGAACCGGGGGTTAGTACCTTTTAGCAAATTTTGACAAAGTGATGAGTTGAAGAGCAGATGCAAGCTTTATTTTGTGGGGTAGATAGTGACGAAGGCATTTAAAAGGAAAGGAAAAAAGCAACAATAGCTCTCCATTCTCAATTTTAAATACTTACATAATGCTCAATTAGACAAATCTCATGTAACTAACACATCAATTACATCGAGACAATATTAAGGCATTTCAACATTAAAAATTTAGTTATGGTAAACAATTTTTTTGATGATTTAGAAGTCAATAATTACCCATTGTCAGGAAATATGAGTCTGCTGAATTTAGGTAAAGCAACTCTTGAAAGAAAAAGATCTTATAGTGCAATGTCCATATTCAGATTCTTGTATAATATTTGACAAAAGTTAGAAGTCCAAGCTTTGGTACCTTTGATCATTAGTCTTATCTGCTTCTGAGATTCGCGGAGCTGGTTTATAATCAATTTGATAATCACCTTTTCCCCTGCATGTAAAATATAGATGTAACCGTGCCAGTTGACCATGTGGCATTTGACACTAGACAGAACAGTATGTGCTAGCATGTTCAAGAAGAACCATGTACATAATTAATGGCTAATAAGGAAGAATGCATGAAAGAAAAGGCAATAATACTACACAAGCCAAGGAGTAAAAATCAGTTGGGTCATACTGCTAAAAGAGGGGAGAGTGTTTACTCTCCAACATGTGTACTGTTGCATGAAGAGATCTCAATTTCTTGAAGCGCGATCTATATAGATACAAATGAAATTAGGCCATTTTTACCACCATGTACTTTTTCTGAAAAGAAAGTAAAGTTTTTAAATTGTAAATGTCCAGCGCTAAAATAGTAATGCTCATTGCTCAGTACAAAAGGGTATTCTCCAAGTTACAGAAACTGTTCAATTTCGCATGGGACCAAGTTACTATTATTTCTTTTTTTCGCTTTTTGTGTTAAGCTTATCAATTTTTTTCAATAAATGATTGGCTACAAAGGGAATTTTTTAAGTGAACCAGATGGTGTATAATAGTAGATTAATGAAATTCATGCATATGTTTAGGAGGGGTGAACCAGAAAATAATAATAGGTATAGCAATCTTTATTATGTTCCCAAGCTTCTCATGTTTTGATGTGCTACGTTTTCCATGAAAATAATCATCACAGATTTGAAGGAAGAGAGAACCACAACTGCACCTTGGAGTACACTATGTCATTTACTCCTTTTCTGGAGTCAACAGGAGCTTAACGTATTTGTGAAAAAATGCATTTTTTTAAAGTTTAATCATAGAGTTGTTGCACAAAGGGATTCCCAAAAGTTCTCAAACAAAAAAATAGTAAAAGGGCTAAAACGCCAACAATATATTCTTAACTTTTGTCAGTAATGGAAGGGACAATTATTCATGTCTTCCTGCAGTAAAATATATTCTGCAATCTATGGGGCTGATAGGTTTAGAATGCTTGAAAGCAGTTGTATGGATTAACGGTGGAGAAGTCCAAACTGGAAGAAAGGCATGATTGTTGAAGATGAATCAGAAACTGAGAAGATAAGTTTCTGCAGTAAATTTAGACTTCAGAAAGCTAGATAGTCAACAGTAAAATATTGGTAAAATAAAGAAAACCTTGAAATCTCTCCATGGCCAATTGTCCCATTAGTTTTTGTGAGCCATAATGAATGTGTTTTATTTAGTATTTTTGACAGGTTCCATGCCTGTTGCAATGATCTCTTTTTCCTTAACTGTATAGTGTAGTTTAAAAAGAAAACTTGACAAAGAAATCCTTCCTTTTAACTGTTAATTGTAGTTTAAAAAGAGAACTTGACCTAGAAAGAATATTTTCCCAGATTTTCAAATTCAGGATTTCTGAAAACTAGCAAAATACCTCTAGTGCTCGATTCCAGAACTTAAACAATCTACAGAAAACAAAAGCAACACTAAATTACAACCGTAAACAATGAGTTACTAATATTTTTCTTGCAAAATTTATCACCCATCCAAATTTTGAACTTAAAAGTTTATTTCTTTGTAATTGTCTTTGTCGTGGACGACACAGCAATTTCACTGGTCTATTATGTTTAACTTGTTTCATCCTATGCACACTCTTAATACCATTCATCAGTTAATATTCATAAATGTAGATCTATAGTTCACAAGCAAAGGTATTAAATGGGGAGGTGTAGTTCAAGCAATGCAACAGAAATGTACCTGGTATCAGACTTCTTCAGAAAACTTTCTGGATACTCTCGCCGATACTGCTGCCTCCAACGAAACCTATTAAAGCAGTTATAAATAACATTACTGTGATCAACTAAACACAATTAGGTTAAATTATTATCTACATTCACCAACTCTTTTTTCAGGAGCCTTTGCTCTTTTTTATCCTTCTCATTTTCTCCTTTTGCTGACATCTTAGTACCAACAAATCTATAACCTCATTATTCTCAACTTTATAATACAAATTATCTCCTAGCATTAGAAAGCACAGCAAAAATAACTTATTGCTCTAAAAATAAATCATTGTTATCCAATTACAGTGAGAACATAGAACATTTCGAGTTCCTACAACAATTGTATAGAAAAAATGAGGAAAAAAATAGGCAGTGAGGAACGAAAAACTTACGAAAATTCTTGAAAAGCATATACAGTAGGATCAATTTTGGGAACTACAACTGGTAATCTCTCGAAGAGCACTGAAGCAACAATTTTATCATTGCTTGATGAAGAAAACCATCGTTTAGATATCACAGATCGACCGGCAGACGAACAGCACCTCTGCATTTTCACAAACCCTAAAAACCCAAATCACAATTTCTCAGTGAATGTGTAGCTCGGTAAAAGTGAAACGTGGTGTTCCACTTATTAAATTATAATTTGGTTCGATTTTAGAGGGCGATTGAATTGATTTAAAAGTTGGGCAAATTTATTTTTAAGTTATTTTTTGACTTGTCGAAATATTTGACAAATGTAAAAATAACTAAAAAAAATAAGTCAAAAATGACTACAAATAAGTTGAGAAGTGATTGACAATGTTAAAAATAACTTAAAATAAATTTAAAATAAGTTAAAAACCAAAAATAGGTTTTCCTCCTATTTTTTATTTTTTGACTTAAAAATTATTTAAGTTAAACTTTTATTTTTTATTTAAAAGCTATTTTTTTCAAGCTAATCTAAACGGACTCTTAGTTCGTTTTTAATTCAATTCTTCAATATTTATTTGAATAGGGCACTATTATGGATCAATCGGCCCAAGTGTTTATAAATTAAAATGAGTCATAAGTTGGCCATCTTAATTTATGATTTTTCACTTTGTAACATTTTTAGTTTGATCAAATATATTATTATTTTATCCTCAATATATTTTAAATTCTCAAAATATTTTTCCCAAAATTAAAGAACTACCTTCATGTTTAGTTATGTAATTATACACAAACAATAATGCAAAACATGACAGTAGCTAAGTATTATCTCATATAAAAGACATCATTTGAAACTCAAAAAGGAAAATATAGCGAAAGGCCAAACTTATTATAATTTAAAATTCTAATGCGATTTTGATGGAAATAAAATGAAATTTTAGCTTGCTTGGGGCAGATTTCCGCAAATTGGATGCAGAAGCAGGTGAACGTGGGTGAAAATACCAAGTTAATAGAATGAGATAAAACTCACACCGCTTACCATCCCTACTTCCAAAATAGTACTAGATGAAAGGGGTGTTGTTGTGACTTGTGAGAGAGTTGTAAGTCACGTGACAAATCCTTCTCTTCAATTGAATTCTTAAATTCGAGTCATTTATTTGCCCCCTCAATTACTCCTTTTTGAACGTTGGTCACTAAACCCCAAATTTTGTTTGTTTTCCAACTAATATCTACCGAAGTCAAGTAGGGCCGAGAGATTCATTCATTGAAAATTACATAGTTAAAATAAATATGTTTTATGTATATATATGGTAGAATTTGAATCCTTTTTTATTTCTTCATGTATTTACTTCTTCATATTATATTTTAAACCATTGAAAACTTTGACTTTGTCAATGTGATATCTACACAAGAAAATAACAAATATAGCTTGTTTTTTTTTTTTTTCTATGTTTCAAATACGGCTAACCAACATGTTAAAAGTGGAACACAACATCAAAGTTAAAACAAGAAAGCCTCCACTATAGAAATATTAATAATACTAGTAACATGCTCCAACAAGGCAAATATGCTAACAATGAAACTGCTTTTGGCCTGTGTGCATAAGAGGGGGAGTTGGTTGGGGGCTGGAGCCTCTTTTTTGGGGTCTCAGCCAATACAACCACAACACCAGCACATCCCCAATAAGATTTAGACTATATATTATATTACTACTAGTGATCAACAAAGCAATAAGAAAAAGAGAAAAAAAAAAGACCAACATGGCTTCATTCTTGATTCTACTACACTTGACTTAGAGTTGGCCAAATGAGTGAGCAAGGTAAGTGAGTGTTCCAACAAGTGGAGCATTAATGTAAGTGGCAGGTTCAGATTGCTCGTAATCTGATCGCTCGTCTGGGAAACGATCGTGCTCATCAGGACCACCTACTACAGCCCCTACTAGTACATTCGGGTTTGGTGATTGTGAGTTCATCACACTGAAACCATCCCTGCATTGTATCTTTGCTGGATGATTCGCGACTGAGGGTAATGAGGATCCCCTGTGATGAATCCTCTGTGGATACCTAGCTCCATAGCCCACCATGAATGACATTTTTAGTGGATTGTCTCCTAACAAATAGTCCACCTGCGCGTTCAAAAAAAGGAACGAGTTTAATTTTTATGCATTGGGGGTTTGCTATATACTTGAAATATTCCAGAATTGGTTTTAACTAACCTGTTTTTTGGCTACATTTCGAAGCCTCTTTGGTGTAATGACAACTCCACCACACTTAACAACCATGCGAGCGGAAGTTAAGTACTTGGCATAGGTGACTAGCAGGAAAGAAGTGGAGGTAACATACTGCATATTGCTGTCATCCATTTTGAAGAGTAGCCCTCCTGTAAAATAGTAAAAAAAAGTTTAATCCACAGATTTGAACTAGAACCTAACAGAAATGTGAAAATGAACTAAATAGGATATTTAACCTGGTGTATATTGCGCTTGAGAAGCCGGTGTGCCTGGAATTAGGGAGCAAATGTAGTTGTCTGCGTGACTCTTGTAATCGTGAAGAGTTTGAAGCTTTTGAACAAGAAATGACTGAAAAAACAGAGAAAATATTCCGTTAAATTGAAGTCGTTCCAACTAATAAGCATCTAATGAGAAAACCACAGGTAAATATTGAACCTTGGAAAGAAGAATCCTTGCTCCAACATGCTTATTGTCCCACCCGAATGTGTTATCAGTCTCCGCGGCCCCAAGAGTTTGCCCATTTCTTTGGATATAATTGAGATAAGTTGGGTTCTTTGTGGCTCTATGTAACCAAGCAGCACCCCACAACAGCTCATCCTATACATAAATTAATCAGTGCATCAGCTAAGAACATCGATTTTGTTTCGAGTCAAAATGCTGAGAATAATACCAACCTCATATCCAGAAACTGAGCAGTAATATGGGCACACTACTTTTCTCAGCCCATTGCTGTATGAACCTCTGTACTTATCAGCAAAGGCAAACACCTGAAAACCAACATTTTGTTATAAGTATACAACAAATGATGATGGTTTCTGATAAATTCTACTACTCCCTCCGTTTTAATTTGTTTGTCTGGTTATGACTCAACACAGAGTATAAGAAGGTAAAGAATTCTTTTGAATCTGTTAGTCTTAAATAAGTCAAGACATTCTTTTTGAAACATACTTGAGACAAACAAATTGAAACACAATAGTAGTATCTTTTTGAAACTAATCACTAGTTTTATTAGAATTTAGAAGAGTTCGAAACAAATACCCTGATAGCCCTTTTGATTAGTATCTTGGAGTAAGATGGATTGCATTTCCTAAAGACTAACGAAGCAGCAGCGAGAGCAGCAGCAGTTTCAGCAGCAACTTCAGTCCCTGGAGTGTTTTTGTCAATCTTGTATACACTTCTTGGGGTGTCCATATCCTCAGGTCTCTCCCAACAAGAGTGGTCACTTCCTGCATCTCCAACCTAAGACAAGATTGTATATAAAAGTTAAAAAGACTTGATTCAAGACAAAATTATTCACTACAAAGTAGAAATTATTCACTTCAGAATTAAACCTGAACATAAATGGTGTCTGGATGGGCTGTTGCCTTGAGAAGATATTCAGTAGCCCAACCAATTGCTTGTTTTGCATTCAGTAGCTCTCCTTTCATCAATCCACCAAACTCAATCACACTCCATGATAGCATTGTGGTGGTGAATGCCATTGGGAAACCGAACTTCACATTGTCTCCAGCGTCATAATATCCACCAACCAAATCAACCTGCATTGCCATTTATTAACAGCAAAATCAACAAAAACAAATTCAACATTCTTCCTTTATAACTAAACATGTCAAAATAGGGCCTGAACAACCATTAATCACCCCAAAACTAAAAAACAAAATTCAAGATTCTTCCTTTATAACTTAACATGTCAAAAGAGATTATTCACCCCAAAATCAACAATAACAAGTTTGTGATTCTTTACAACTAAACATGTCAAAATAGAACCTGCACAGCCACCAATCACCCCGAAACTAACCAAGTTCAGGATTCTACCTTTACAACTAAACATGTCAAACTAGAACTTGCATTACCATTATTAACAGCAAAACCAACAAAAACAAGTTAAAGTGTCCTCCATTACAACTAAACATATCAAAAGAGGTCCTGCACAGTCATTATTCACCCCAAAACCAACAAAAAACAAGTTCAAGATTCATCCTTTACAACTAAACATGTCAAAAAAGGACCTACACAACCATTATTCACCCCAAAACCAACAAAAAAACTTCAAGATGCTCCCTTTACAACTAAACATGTCAATAGAGGACCTGCATTACCATTATTCACCCCAAAATCAACAAAAACAAGTTTAATATTCTTCCTTTACAGCTAAACATGTCAAAATAGGACCAGCACAGCCACCAATCACCCCCAAAACCAGCAAAAACAAGTTCAAGACTCTTCCTTTACAACTAAACATGTCAAAAGAGAACCTGCATTACCATTACACCCCAAAACCAACAAAAACAAGTTCAAGATTCTCCCTTTAAAACTACACATGTCAAAAGAGAACCATTTCTAGTGTTAAAACAAAACAACCATTTGCAGTGCACAAAAACACCCAAAAACTCAGAAAAAAAACATACCCCCATAGCTTTGCCATCTGAAAGACCAGAATCTTTACGCCAAGTAATCCTCTGGCTAGAAGGTAGCTTCCCTGACCTCTGACCCTCAAAATAAAGAATGGATTTTGCAAGAGCATCTCTATAGTTATGAGAAGCAAAACGAGGATGGTGAGCATGATGTGTAGGTTTAGCAAGAAACACAGGTGTAACAAAGCTCAACAAAAACAGAAAAATGGTTATAGCCATAGCTGCTGTGGAAGAAGAACAAGAAGCCATTTTGGAAACTACGCACCTGAAAAATAATACTAGTATCAAAACCCCAGCCCCAAAAACCAACAAATAACCCCAGGCAGTGGCAAAAACAAGAAACAGCCCCTTTGTATTTATAATGAAAAAAGCTAAGGAAGGAGTCCCCTGTTTCTTTAACGTCCTGCCTGGTTGCAATCATTAAACCCCTTTAGTTACCCACATTAGCAGTTAGTGCTTAGTCTTTTTTAAAAATATTCGATACAAGCGAGGCTCGACTAATTTGGATTTGTATCATATAAAGGTCATTAAGGGACAAACGTTTCATACCATGATTCGAACTCGAAAACTTTCATTAAAAAGGAATAAATC